GGGCTACAGGCAACAAACACCACAAACTCTTATTCTACAAGCATCTTGGGCTATGGTTTCAAATTTCCTTGCTTTCCCCAGTTAAAAAAGGACTCTTGGTGTTAAGGGACCTGGAGCTGCTTGTAGTTTCTGAGGCCAGAAACCTTGCTCAGACTCAGCGTTAGTAATGTGCAGAATCTCTGTCAGGAAAATTTCTCATAAAGGGGCTCCGCTGTGTTCATTAAATGGTTGCTGTATCCTCCCCTCCTTCGGCTGCTCTTTAACTGGAGGTATCTGCAGGCCTGCCCAGAGACTTATAAGTAAGACGTGCCCAACCCAGCCAGGGCACTTCCACAGCCTCCATGGTGGGTGCATGAAGCAGGTCGGGGCAGGGGGAGAGCTCCCCGCAGCAGGCTCACCAGTCAGCACACAGCTGGAAACTAACCCTTGGGGGGTTTAAAGAGGTCACCTGGCAACTGTGAGCCTCCTTGCACCCTGACTTGCTGGAATATGATATTTCCTGTTACTTGCGGAACATGTAGTTGGGGTTGTTTCAATTAAATGCACATCTGTGCTCAGTAGAGTCCTACCGGCCCTGTGTTATGCAATGGTGAACTTTTCTTCGGGCTGGGATTCTAATGGTTGGGACAAATATGGCTACAGGCACAGCTTAGTGAATCTATGAGAGCTGGGGTCTGGGTCCAGGCATCTACGGCTGTGCTGCCTTTGGCTGTGTCTGGTGTTGGAGACGGTTATGAGATTCTCTCAGATTCTCTCTCATTCTCTTTACTCTTGTTTCCTCTCTTCTCTATACACACACACATCCCTCTCTTATCAGTGAAAAGTTTGCTGCTGAGTATTATCTCCACGTCTGAAAGCAGACATTCTGCCAGCACAGCACGGACCTGACTCAGGTCTCTGTGGGAGGGGCAGGTCAACATCCCACTGCCTGCTGCACACCTCACACAAACTGAGTGCTATGTGCCAGGGCCGGTCTGGCACCCACTTCTCAGTCCTGGGACACTCCGCCCAGGGACACTCCACTCAGGCACAGTGGGACTCACTTTGGGTGACAGCTCACACTTTGGCATGAAGTGGCACTTGCACAAAAGCTTTATAAAGTTCGTTTAGCTCATTTCTGATATTTTATTTAAGTAACCCACCCAAACCAAATTTAATTCTTTTCTGTCTGAAAAGGAGAAAGAGAGAATGACCTACGTTAGTAGAAGACAGAAATGCTTTCCATATTCCCTCAGGCCTAATTTTAAGAGGATTCTTTTTTTTTCCTCTCAGTTTTGATAGAATCATCATTGTGCTTTCAGACCAAGTAGTTAGTACCTCGATTACTGCTTCCTACCTTTAGAACTATCAATTAACCATTTTCTCTGACTCTTGCTAGGAGAAGCCTACATGTTCTGCAGCTAGAATTCATTTCCTCTTTGCTATCCCTTTCAGAGGCCTGACAGCCCCAAGCACTCCAAGAATGACTAACCCCGACAACAAGGCTGGCACTCTGTGGGGTTTTAGGAGCAGACAGTGCCATGCCACCACTGCTGGAACAGGGTGACACACACTGAACTAGCACAAACCATCAAAGTAAGACTTAGCATATCGACACTGTGTAATCAGTCCATTTCATGTATGAATGAAAGGATGGATGGATGGGTCTAAGTACTTATTGCTGCCCTCTTCCAAAGAACTACAAGGGCCCTGGCTGGTATAGCTCAGTGGATTGAGCACGGGCCTGTGAACCAGAGGAATGCGGTTCGATTCCCAGTCAGGGCACATGCCTGGGTTGCAGGCAGGTTCCCTGCAGGACAGTTCCCTGCAGGGGATGCACTAGAGGCAACCACACATTGATGTTTCTCTCCTTCTCTCCTTCCCCTCTAAAGATAAATAAATAAAATCTTTAAAAAAAAAAAAAGAAAAGAAAGTGTTGCAAAGAACTACAAGGAGTTCGCAGGGTTACATGCTAAGCGGTTCACCACACAGACGGGCAGACACAGAAGATGAAGCCAGGACCGAGCTTATCACTCAGAACTGCATGCCATTAGCAGTGGGCTGCATGTTAACTTCTAGCTTCCTAGCAACTAAAGCAAAGATGGTGAGTTTCAATTAGTCGAGACATAATTATGCCCTTATACTTTTTTGTAAGGCTAGGCAATGAACCTACAGAAGCACATTCAATGAACGCCAGAGGCTCCTGGTCTTTCACATTCCACTCCCATCTTCGGGCGCCCATGCCTTACGCTCTCACTTCATCCAGTCACAGTGTGCCGAGAGGGAGTTACTGTCACTAGTACTGCATGTGTGTGTGTCTGTATTCACCTTTGCTGTTGCCCCCATTTGGAGTATCAGTGGTTCTCAACCAGGGGAGCCTTTGCTACATAGGGGACATGGGCCACGTCTAGAGACATTGTTGATTGTCATGACCTTAGGGACAGGAGTGTTGCTGCATCTACTTGGGAGAGAGCAGAGATGCTGCTGAACATCATACAATGCACAGGCCAGGCCCACAACAAATAATTACTTATCTGGCCAGACCATCAGTGATACTGAGGTTGGAAATCCTACAGTAAATAATGGGTGTGTGTGTGTGTGTGTGTGTGTGTGTGTGTGTGATTTTGTTTGGATAAAATGGAAATCAGTAATTTTTCTGGTTTTAGAGAACAGTAGCCTTAGTTTTTAGTTCAGCCTCCATTTGTCTGCTCTAGAAACCATGTATCAGGAAAGCTTTCAGAACTGACAGAAGGGGACAAAAACAAGCCTAAATGTTTCACTAGGACCCTGGTTATAATGACAGGTGAATTTCAAAAGGAGACCTTCTGGACACAGCTAAAGCACAACAGAACAAGTCTACCTGGGTGTGTTATGAAGGTCTGGGCATTGCGTAAAAAAAATGGGAAGTCATCCCATCTCTTAACTCAGTGCGAACAGGTAAACTCTGCCCAAAGGACATGCTTCAGTCCCAGTGGAAGAGCTGCTGGACAGTGAGGGAGAGTAAAGAGATGGAGCGAACACGGAGGGAAATGCGGAAACAGCGTGTGATGATCTCATGTAGAACTGGACCGGGAACCACATGCTGGGCTCCTCCTACGCTGGCCTGCTGGATGCAGGTGCGCCAGGTTCATGATCTCCCAGGTATCCCTCCTGCTGGGGGGGCTTCCGCTCTTGCCAATTACCTCTATCAGTGACAGAGGTCATGGGCTCCTTCACATGTTCCACATAATATTTAATGTGATTGGTTGAATGACAGCTTGCTTTGATTTTGTCATGCCCACCCTTCTATTTCTCTCCTTTTTTTTTTCCTGATAAACCACCAGCATTCTAGATATGGAAAGGCTAACCCACCATGGATAAACCAATAATGAAATGCAGCTTTTCTCTCCACTCTCACTATAATCACCATCTTGACTCATGGAAGATAAAGTCAGAGAATACAGGATGCAGGCTGTTTTTCTGAACGGGACCAGCCATGTGTTTTTGTGAATGCGGCCATGTGTTTCGTGTGGAGCAACGGGCATATGTAACCTATCTGTGCTCACGCAAGCTGAAAGGTCCACTAGAAAATCAGAAGGGTTCCTTTGAAGTCTGCGTCTGCTTCAACTAGGAGACACAGTGCTTTCTAGGGAAAGGCAAACAACTCCACCAACACGGGTACAGAGGAAAAGCATCCATTTAGACTTGACCCTGCTCATCCAGAGAGGATGTGGGCTGGAGGCGGCCTCCAACCCATCTGTAAACGCAATTTCCTCATGGAGAGAGGCTGGGAGGGTGATTAAGTATGATGGCTTATCCGTGTATTTCAGAATCTGCTGCTGTGTTAATCTGAGGCAAATCTCCCCACCTTAGTCCCTGGGCTCCACTGAGTCATATTTTCTTGGCCTCCTTGTAGTTATTTTATGAACTACATTAACTTTAAAGAAATAGTTCTTTATTAAATCTATGATTTAATTCTCACTGATTCAATTAGTACTTTTATCCAGTGTATAGTGTAAAAGAAATGATTTAATAGCTCTCTATCTCAAGACTTTGTGACATATGTATATATATTATATATAATAATGTAATATATGACATGTGTGACAACATATATGTCACAGGCATACATATGTAAAATTTCTGTATCTATTGTCCAAAATACTTTAGACAAGTGGAATGACCGCAGCAGTTCCCACCTGAACACTGCTTGGCAGCCACCCCAAAAAGCCCATTTCTCTCAGCCTGACTGGCTCCTAAAACACTTTCTAATAGATTCGATGGCTTTGTTAGTTCTGCTTTCCACATATGCGAATGACAGGGACATCACTAGTTCTCCTCCTTCAAGGAAGTGCTTCCAAAACCTATCTCAGCACCACAAGAATCTGAGGAAGCCACTGAATCTGCCACTAGATCCAGGCAGCTGTCTGCACCTGGGGACATGTGGGGCCTGTGCACGTGCCTGGCCTGTGTGATGAGTGGGGTGGCCTCAGATGGCTCCCAGGACAGGCCACTCTAGAACTCAGGTCAAAACGGCAGGAGGGCCAGACCACTGCCCGACAGAGGACCTCGAGTTCTATCTTTGCCAATAGTGACACTGGATGTGCCCAGGTGAAACGGTGAAGCTTGGGGGGGAGGAAGTAAATGCAGCTGTCGGGCTTTATAATGATAGAAGGAAAATCCCTCCTAGCTTATGTGTACTGTGTGGTTTCACTGGATACCATTATCTTAGCCTCTGGTACGGCAAATGTGAGCGGAAGTTAAAATGCACACACAGTTATGTAGTCCTTCTTAAACCACATCACACCCCTTATCATCTCCATTTCTCACAGCCACAAGTTCTGATGGTAACGTCTACATTCGTCTCAGTTGTGCTTCTGCAGAGGATTATAACTGACTTACAGTGTTTGTAGGGAGCTGGGAGGATCCCATCTTTTACCCATAGGAACAACGCATGCAGAAAACTTACACCACCATTCTTCTTACCGCACTATAAAGTCAAAATAAACATTCACAGCACATTTGCAAAGGAATAAACTTACTTTCAGTGCAAATAGGACAGCATCCTTTTCTGTTGAGAATTTTACCCTAATCAAGAGAAAAACAAAGAAGAGTTTTTAATGTTAAGAAATAGGATCCACTGGGGGTCAAAACTCTTTTTTAAATCTAATCGCAGATAAACCAATGAAATTGGTCCAAGCTGTTCTGGAACTCAGTGCCCAGATGGGGATGATGATGGTGAATGTGAAGTTTCGAGTATCAGCTTCTCAGGACAGGTGAAGCCATTTGGAAAGCTTTCCTGTTTTTATCTGCCAGGAAGCATCCCAAGGACTCGCTGGTGTGTGTTTTCTCACTTGGAGGGAAGATGGAGACAGCCTCAATTCAACCTTTTCACTGATGCTCAGATCTCAGCCTCTATGGGCCCAGAGTGCACACAGAAAAGCAGGAACTGCCTGTCAGCCTGCTGGTCCCTGTCGGGCCCCCACTCTGTTCTGCTTCTCGGAGGGGCCCGAACAGTGAACCTTAACCCAAGCGCAGGCCAACGGGTATGGACAGTCTCTGGGCTGCAGATCCGGTTCGGTTGGATTTCTTCTTTCAGAAATTGCTACGCAGTCAAAGCCAACGAAGCTGAGAGTTTTGAAATGCAGAGTAATTTTCCATTACCTTTTTGGAAATACATCTCCTAAAATGCATTTCTTCCAATTTGTTTTCCATGCACAACATTTAAAGGAGGAAGCATATTCCTGTATCAGAAGATGGCATGGCACTGTCTCACCCCTGACTCGACGGGACTCACAGCGAAGAACTGGGGAAACATTAACATTTACAGGGCACTTCTCAATGTAACGAAGACCCTTCTAGATGTTTTCCCTAAGTTACTCAGCATCAGGCTATTTGTAAGGATTTCATAATTTAACACTTAAAACACTTAAGGTTTAATTAACATTATATATCATAGTAATAATTACTATTAAGATGCCCAAGAACCTTATGAGCTAAACATGTCCCTTTTACAGGTGCAGAAACTGAAGTCATGGGACAGAGTGGTGGTAGAGCCCAACATGAAACCTAATGTTGTGTAACCCTAAAGGCCAGGTGATTTCCACTCCAGATTTTTATCCTCTTTCCTCCTTTATCACTAAGAGAACTATGTATTCATTGGGTATCTGCTGTACATTAGAAAGAATGCTGTGCATTCTTGATACTTTGTCCCGCTTAAATTTCACAACGACCCTCTAATGTAGGTGCCCCCGTACTTGTTTCTAGGAAACAAGAGAAGAGGCCCAAGGCCTATGTCAAGGCCACACAGATAATATAAGGTTCATTCACTCATTCAACTACTGGTCGGCTACATCAAAAATAGATTTAGGTACTTCAAAAAAATTACACTGACTCAAAAAATGCTGGTTAATAACTGAGAGACCAGAACCACGTCTGATTCATTTTCCCATCAACTAGAGACCCAAATGAAGGCTATGCTGACATGGCATAAGACTTCCAACTTGGCCCCATCCAGTCACCCCACAGTTGTGGTGATTGGGGCATCACCACACACTTTCACGGCCTAGACCTCTCATCTCTATTCAGCACACAGGTCTCCTTTGGCTTCCTGGACTGAAAGCAGTTGAGGACAAAACCAAGTGTCTTAGGCTCAGGCCGATGGCATGGTGGCCCCGGGGGAGGGGGCAGGTGCTCTGTCTGAATGGAACAGAGCTGTCTACACCCAAGGCCCCAACAGTACGCGGCAACATGATCCCCCGCGTGCGCACACTGGCAGGAACTGCCATCAGCTTCCTCAGAAAACGAAAGTGGAGCTGGTAATAATGCTGGAGTAGGTGGGGAGTAAATCAAGCACAAGCTATGGAGTCAAGCCCCTGGATTCCACCTAAATAGCTGTGGAACTCTAGACAGGTTGTGACCTCATCTGTAAGAAGGGTGTGGTAACAACACCACTTCAGAGGGCGGTCTCAGCATGCAGTGGGGTTAGCCCTGTGACTACAGAGGAAGTCTTGGTGCACACTGGCGATGAGGAAATGACAATGTCAGAACAGCCCTGTCCCCAGTAGAATCCACCTAGCCCTCCTCACAAACGGGCTCTGTTGTCTCTGGGGAGTTGCCAGGGAGGGCGGACACGGAATCCAACCAGAAAATCCTTCTTCAGCAAGGCACACGTGCTTCTGGAAAAGAGACGTATAGGCCCGGGACGGACAGAGCAGGGAATGCAGGAGGACTCTCCGGATTTTTTAAATCTCTCCAGGCAGTGCATGGGCAGGGCAGTCAGTGAGTAGCCATGGCCATGGAGCGGGGAGAGTAGGAACTAGAGGGACATTTGGGAAGATGCTTAGACACAGAAAGATGGCCCTTGAGGCAGGAGCCAGGCACGGACGAGCTTGGATGAGACAGGGTGGGTGGGGAGGTGGTGAGCTGGGGGGAAGGCCTGCGACTGGAGGCATGACGCCCCTGGCCCAAACATGGTTCATAAAGGAGAAGTGCCAGCCAGACACAGCTGGTGACATCCAGAGCCCTGACCTCCCTGCAGCAAGAAGACGATGAAAACCATCAACCCTGCCATCCACGGTGGAGCTCATGTGCAGCTGGACTCTCCTCCCCGGCCTGCGGAGCTCGGTGCCTGAGCCACCAGGTGGGCACAGCGCCCAGTTCTTGTCTTGTGGCATAAGGAAGCCCATTATTGCTAACATGTGCTGCAAGAGGCCGTTAGCAGGGGGGCTCCCACAGGCCGGGCAGAGAAGATTGATCTGATTTTCCCAATGAATATTTATAAGCAGACCACGTTCAAGGCTTCAAGTCTCTGTACTATACCCGCTTTTTTTCCCTTCGTCTTCTTTTATAGGAGGTTTTCAGTTTTACATCTGAGACTTTCTAAAGCAAGACTAATTAGGGATTTGGGGCATTTTTTTCACTTTTTTCTCCCCCCTTTATTCAGTTGTGCAATAGCAGCAGCTGTTGTTTCCTGAGCCTCGTTGGGCAGCCAAGCCAACACAGCGCTGTTTTGTTTACAGTAATAACAGATGTGAGCAAAATTAAAGGCTGTCGATAACAGGGAAGGGCGGACATGCCCTGAATCCGTGGGTATTTTTTTTTTCATTCACTGGACGGTATTGAATAGGTTTGACATTTTCCCAAAATGCATAAAGCTTTGAGAGGTTTCAAGTCACTGAGGCAAGTTCATGGAGGCTAGCCTGGGAGGTTAATGGCTATTTTATTCAGCACAGGACTGTGGGCTTCTGGAAAGAAGTCTTCCCACAAGGACCCGAGTTCTATTCGGGACTGCCATGGAGGCCAGGGTTTGAAAGGAAGAACTTCAGAAGGGGGTTAGAGTGCTGCTAGGCAGGAGAAAACCCTTGAGAAATTTCCTGAGAAACAACTACTTATGACTTTGAATAGCTATGGCCATAAAACTCTGATCTGAGAAGAGAGAGAGAGAGAGAAGGGAAACACAAAGGAAGCTGCTGAGGTTCAACAGAAAATCCAGCCAAAGAAACAAGGGAGCAGACTCAACAGGATTGGGAGATATTCAAGCAAAGAATGGGGCAAAGTCACTAGGAAATAGGAGAGTGGAGACAAGGGCAAGGTGGGAGCTATTTTCACACAAGACTAGAATCTGGGTGGAAACTGCAGAAGAACAGGAGCGAGCTTTGCAAGGGGCATGTGGCTACTGGGGAACGTGCAAGCTCCAGGGGATCTGGATTTGGTGACCAGGGGACCATGCCATGCACAGGATGTTTCCCAGGATGCCCAGGTAAAGGCACGCCAGCCTGCACTCTCACGTACCTGTGGGCAGCTGCTGATGGGAGCGCACTGCTTCTTGCGACACTCTGTCCTGCCTTTCACACAAGCACAGATGGTGCAGTTCACAGAGGACCACATCTCTCCATCCTGGGGAGAGAGCACAGGATTCTGCTGTCAGCTGGAGGCCGAGGGCAGCTAACCCAACAGGCTAGGTTTCCTCTGCCAAGGGAAGCATCTCTTACCCTGGGCGAGAGATGCCATTATCAGACTAAGGTTCTCTGAGGCATCTACCTGCACCTGACCGATTTAACATTAAGATTAGATCTGCATGTGTGTGTTCCCCTCCGGGCTATAAAAGAAATTCTTGGGCAGCTAAGTCCTCTTTGCATCTCGTTCCTTCTGTATGGGGAGACAAACAGGCGTTTTCACACATGCTGTAATAACAAAGGTCTCATGTTTCCCGCTGGGCAGGACAGAAATATTCGAGCTGTGCCCCGCACCAGCCATTAATTGAGCTGTCTAAAGGCAGTTAATTTATTCCCAGAGGTGACGTGGTTCTGGACCACACAGGGCACAAACATGCCAAGAACAGAGGCTGACCCATGTCCCTTTCTGTCACACACTCACCTCCCAAAAAGCTGGGAAGCACTTTGGGACATGTTTTTCAGCCCTGGAAGAGCTATTTGAAGAATTTCTTTGGTTCACAGGCTTTATAGTCTGCAAATGCAGCCCCGAACCCTGGATGACAGTCAGGGGTGGACATCCCCGCTTTCGGGAAAAGAGATGACAGGCAACAGCACTGGGCCTGAAAATCCTCGGGTGGTCCTTCCTGGGCTGGCGGCAAGTTTGTTAGAAACAGAGAAACGAGCTCGGGTCTGTCGTGTAGACCGCTCCTCTCCCTCCTCCTCCTCGTTTTTTACAGCCATTTTATGGACTGTCTAATCCCCAGGGACTTTTATTCCCTGGGAGAAGACCTACCTGAAATTGTCTTAAAGGGCCAGAGTCTCCCAGTGCATCTTTCTAGGACTCAGAATTTCAAGGATGGGCCTCTGTCAATGAGTTTTGGCTGCAGCCATTTAAAGGACCCTCACACTAAGCAACTTTGCATGCACAGCACCGCCGTGAGGGCGAGTCACTGCACCTGGGTGCTGTGGACAGGGGTGACCCCATGGAAAGAGGGCAGGAGAGGCTCTGAAGGCCTGGTGTGAATGTCACACACACACACACACACACACACACACACACACACACACCCTTCCCTCAGGCACGACACACCATGTCTCCTCACCGATGCGAAGAACCAAGACTCTCCCTACCGCTCTGTAGGGTAGCAGGGAGTCTGGCCAAGGCAGCCCGAGGAGCCTCCCCACCGGGTGGTGGAAAGGTACCTTTAGGTACAGAGACTCTCTCCACCCCTGGGACAGAGAGACTGGACGGGAAACACTTTGGACAAAGTTAGTGATATTCATCCTGATGTTTAAATGGTCCCTGGGCAGCTTCCCCCTCAGGCAGATGGAAAACAGGGTAAAACACAGCTGAGATGGGAGTGGTCAGCAGACAGCCCCGCTGGCTCAGCGGGGCATGCTCTCTCCCCTTTGCTCAGCGGCTGGGCTGGCCACTTACGCTATGGACAGACACCCTCCCTGGAACATCTTCTGAATGAGAAAATCTCCCTTTGCAAAGCAGTGGTGTAGAAAAGTCCTAAAAGCACCCGGCTCTAGACCTGAGCCATTCCCGGTACACGAGCACCCGTCACTGCACCAGCCAGGAGCAATTTCGGGTCAACGCTCAGCAGAGGTCGGCCACATTCGGAAAAGGCAATGATGCTTTACAAATTTGAAATATTTCATAAAGCAAAAATAAAGCATATTTCAAAAGAAAATTTTTGAAAGGAAAACATTTTCAAAGCAGTTGCTTCTCTGTCCCTATGCACTTGATTCTAAATATATTTGTATATGTAATATTATAAATAAGTGCATCTATAGTTTAACATACACACACTAACACAAAGTATGGATGACGCCAATCTGAATTCTGGGGGGAGCATTTTACAATTCGGACTAGCACTGAATTTCCGTGAGCTTGGCTCATGACATACCCGGAAAATCCTGTTGCCAAACTTGCACACTTTGACGTCCTCTGGGGGCACACGTAGGAGGCACTCCTCACAACAGGCCTCCATGCCCTTGTCGCAACCACCAGGGCGGGAGCACTTCTTCTTGCACACTACGGTGGAGTCCTGGGGACCCAAAGGCAAACTGGAGATTAACGATGGTTCCCACCGCTACCAAACATCCTCCCTGGCCTCGCCTTACCAACCCACAGTAACTGCCTTCAAACATATTCTAAGGATACCATATTTTAATTTATTGCAAGAAAGCTTTTGTCCACTTCAAAGTTTTATTTGTTGATTAAATATCTGGATCATGCAAAATGTGATACATACTTCCTACCTTCCAAGGATTTGCAATTTAATGCTCATGAAACTAAAGAAGCTGCTTCAGCTGGTGTGTGGCAAGAAGGCCCTGCTCATCATGGGACAACCAGTTTCCTGCCCCTTCCCCCTTTTCTTCACTAACAGTGCTCTCTGGGTCTTTTCCTTGACTTTGTACCACCTTCTAGGAGCTCGGCATAGAGGCAGGATATCTCTGATCCAAGATTAGACATGAAGAGTCAATGTTCCCCCTCAGGATGAAATCCCTCAGTGTGTTCTGTGTTCACAAAGGAACAGGATGAGCAGTTGCCAAACTAGACCCAGGCTCTAGGGCTCTCCCATAAACCATGTGTCCCTAACCAGGCCACTTAACCTCTGAGGACGACAAGTTTATATCTACAACTTAAAGGGGTCTGAATTGATATCTAAAGAGGTAGGTATCTAAAGAGTATTCCACAAACAAAACAGCCAAGTAAACTGTGTCTCCTGATTCATCCAGCAGCCCATGGAAGCAAAGTTCAGAGTAGCTTCAGCAAAGTGAACTTCCCTGGCTCCCCAGCCAACAAGGTGCAACTTCACTGGAGCAGGCCGACAGCTGGGAGGACTATAAGACTGAAACATGGGTGAAATTTGGTGGAAGGCGGAGAGCAGAAGTGCCCCAGGGCAGACCAGCAATCCCCTCCAAAGTACTGCGTTCATGTGAGAACAGGGCTGAGATATGCGGCAGAACCCCTCTCCTAGACGCAGACCCTATTGGTAAGCTTTGAGCGGGGACTCACTTCTGAGCCTTCGCACAGGTAGGTTGTATCAAACAACCCATGTGACTTCTGTAGATTTTATGCTGAAGATATGGCTTTAAGAGGCATTTCAGGTACCATCTACTATCGTCCCACTGATTAATCATCTAAGATTAATAGGACACTGAGGTGATCCTTCAGAAAATGTCCTTTGTTATCCTTTGTATTTAAGGTCCAGCCCACATCATACAGTGGACAGGACTGAGAGCTGAACAAGACCAGGTATACATATCGGGGGTGTTAATCTCGTGCAAATCTATCTCTCTGAGCCTCCAGGTCCTCACCTTCAAAATGGAAATAATCATACTGACTTCTCATATTTCTGGTGCAATTTAATCACATATTTTAAGTACCTGGAACACTGCCTGGCTTGTAGAAGTTATTATAAGTCAACTCATAAACTGGAAAAAAATCCTTTGTCAAATTGCATGTTCTGATTTGTGCTCGCTGGCTTTCACATAATGCACAGTTCACAGCAGATTTCCTGATTTCCATTGAACACACACAGCTCCCATTATTAGATCAGCTGTCTGGCCCTGGGTTAAGTCATGAGAACACAGATGGATGAGCGTCTGTCTTCAACAAGCCCGGAGAGTAAGAAAAGAGAGAACCACGTGAACAAATAATGACAGTGTAATGAGGTAATAAACAGAACTAGTCAAGGTGTGGAGGGAGCAGAGCAGAGGAAATAATGACCTATCTAGGGGGCTGCAAAGCCTCCATACAGGAGGGAACATCTGAGACAGGCTGCTATGGAGGAAGAGGAGTTTGCTAATCAGATTTACAGAAGATGAGGACATGCAGGGAGAGAAATCATTAAATCGAAAGGCACACTGTGTTCCCAGAACCACTACACAGCTTCTAGAACTACTACGCATCCTCACTGAATGAGGATGCTGGAGAGGGAAGCTCTCAGCAGAGAGAAAATGCTGCTCTCCAAAATGATTGCAGCCTGATTCTCCAAGCCTTTAGCTCCTCAATGGACTCGCACTCTGATAAAACAACATAAAACAACCTCCGGGAGGAATGGTGTTGATTACACTCCTTTTGAGTCCTGGGACATGTTTCCTAATCATCTCTCATGGAATCCATGGGACCCAAAGCACTATGAGCAGAATGAATTCCCATCCCTGGGAGGCCTGGCTTCCCTGCAATCAAAAGAACTAGGAATGATATGGGTTTTATGGAAAGCTCAGTATCCCCAAGAGGAAGCTATAACTTGTGAAATTCCTGGAGAGGAAGAGAAGTCCTGAGGATGGAGGCCAAGGCCAACAGAAGAAGTGGCGATAAGTTTAGCATAGGAAAATACAAACCATGAAGAGAGGAGGGAGCCGCAGGAAAGCGTCCTTGGGCTCAGGAATGGCTCAGGGTTCAGTGCCAGGCTACGCACAGGGGCAGCCCTTCCACGGCCACACCCGCAAAGGAGTGCAGGCTGCCTAACTCAGCACGCCTCAAATAATCAGGACCCTCTGAACTCCAATGGCGGCTACTGACTCAGAGCTGGCACGGAGCAAACCTCCTCTCTTTCCCTCTCTTGTTCATTAGCTATTACAAACAAAACAACCACCATCAGCACCGAAATGTATTACTCTCCACTCAGGCCACACAGATGTTTGAGTTAACCCACTAATGAATGATCTTAAAGTCCTCCATATACATGATTCTCCTCTTGGTTCCAAAAATAAATCACCTCATAAGCACAGTCTAGAAACATGTGCTGCATGTCCCTTTAAAACTTGAGAGTGGTAGAATTTTCTCTTTACCAGTCATTAGGCTTCTGGTTGCCTTTTGAGAAAAGTGAGCAATGCCTCAAGTAACCAATGATACGGTGGACAAAACATACTCTCTTCCCAAACTACCAGGTTTATCTTGTGATGCACTGTAAATCCGTGCCTTTCTTTCCCCCTGGCTGTGATTAAAGCTGTTTTTATTGCCAGGCGTGTCAGAGAATTCATTGCCGATAATTAGATCCAGAGAGCACTGCCATGTGTGTTTGTCTGAGTTTAGCTGGTGCCTCAGACAGCCAGCCCCTCCTAGCTTAGTTCACACCACCAGGCACCCACGTGTTCTTCCTGGGAAGATGGCAGTGCGTTGTAATCTGGGTCCTACGACTGAAGTTGGTCTTGATCTCAAGTGAGGCTACAATGTTAACACTAAAGCCCCAAATGCTCTTGTTATTGGACTGCAGCCCCCCAAAGCCCCATACCCTGCAGGTGCACGCAGTGCAGTTATCGTAGAGAAATGAGGATCCGTTGTCGTAAACGTCACTGCGAAAGAGGCAGCTTCCAAACGGGAGATCAAACACTTTCCTCTGACCTAGAGGGAAGCAATGCAGAGGGTAAGCAAGACAGAAGCCAAGGTGGTCCCACTGTGTCACCAGCAATGGCAACATAGGGCAGTTAAACATTCTCACAGGACCAGGACAATCTGAGGCACAGAAATAGAGCCTTGGGTCAGCTGTTCCCAGTGGATACCCTCACGAGTCATTAGCTTAGAGAGTTTTTGTTAAAAAGAGTTTGATTGCACACTCTAAGTTCAACAGATATTGCATAGGGACCGGCACAGATAAAGCCCCCTTTTTATGAGCTGAAAATCTATACCAAAACTTTTATTACAAAATCGTAAGCATGAAATTCTGTAACATAACAATGACACTCTCAAGCAGTCCAAATAACATTTTAGGTGAAATGTGCAAATTGCTGTCCATCTCGTACCCCACCACCAATACCCAGTGGTGTGCCCTCTGTCAGACCCTTTCTATCCACACAGTGAACCAAGAGGGGAGAGCCACAGACCTGCCCTCATGGAGTGCACATGGGGTGACCAACACACAAAGCATGATCAGTGCAAATATATGGTAAGTTCTGGAAAGAAGCCAATCTGGGAACTGTGGGCACAGGGAAAACAGAGAAGGCCTCTCAAAGGATGTGATGCCTGAGCTACAAAGAGGAAAATTATCCAGGAAGTGAGTATTGGAAGGAAGGAGGCAAGGGGAGTCAAGATATCCCATGAAGGCAAAGATGAGCAAAAAGGACTAATGATAGAGCCTCGCGGCCGAAGAAGTTATGAGTCCACTGGCGTAAAGGGTGAAGCTAACTTGAAGGGCACACAGAGGCATGTGTCCAACCTTACACAGGCACTGCATCTCTGTCAGATCAGCTTGCTTTGCTTTTTCCCTATAATTTATCTACATATGCTTCGTCTGTTTTGTAAAGTGGACTTAAATCTTTTTTGGCAAAAAACAAGATATATAGTTAACCTTTTTTTCCTCCACCAGTCAAAAAACAGGTTCTGGGGAACTTTTTCCCTTCTTAAAATAAATAGCCCCTGCCTGTTACTTTTGCTCAATATTGTTGCATGCATGGGTGGATGCATCATTAGATCACTGAACAAAAAGGCTCTTCAACAAGTTTCTCCTCTACCCCCCAAACAAATGTAACCAATGCCTTAAATTACTCCCAGTAAAATGTAAAATTTGCCTTAGCACAGAGCCTGGCACTCATGAAACACCACGAAAAGTGGCCAGTGATATGCACTGTCATTATCAGTGGTGGTACAAGTCAAATAGGACCCTGGGTGAGACCACTAGGAAAGGGGCCCTGGGAGCTCCATGTACAGAGAACTCTGCCCAGGCTCCTCACTGGAAAGGAGAAAGGAGAGGGAGGGAATGTTGTAAAAGACAGAGACGTGCCGTGTGAATGAATTGTCGGTGGAGGAAAAATTTAACAGCAAATCAGTGCCCACCCTGCCCAAAGTCTAAATGAGTCTAAGATTTCAGCATCTAGATAGTATCCTTGTGTTTTTTATACCTTTATTGTTGTTTGTGGGGGGGGGGGTTCTTTTTACTTGCAAGGAACATAAAATCTTACCTTAATCCCAAAGTCATCACAGCCCAAAGTAAGATAAAACAGTCAAGAAAGTGTGCACTGTTCCATGCACAGCCTGACGAGAACCATTTCCACTGGGCTCAGCCCCGCTGAAAACAGGTCTCGTGTGGGAGAATAATGATTTCTGGGTTCCCTAAGCCTCTCTGTTCCTTTTGTAGTCTGTCTTATGACCACAAAGGGACAGAAAAATCTGCATCCAATACAACAGCCACAGCTCAAAGGACAAACTTCTGAGCTGACTCAGCGTATGCATGGCACTGGCTGAAAAGCATGAATCAATCCCGCTTATCTTCGAGGCCAGGCCCCCGACGCCACCTCCTCTGTGGTGATGACTTTCCTGCTCAGACAAAACACTGCCACCCCCATGACCCACAGCGCGATGATTCCGACCACGAGGAACCGACCAGCTCTATTCCAGGGGCGCAAGCACAAGTCGGCAATCCAAGGGGCACACACATCAGTGGGAATATCGTTAGTCAGGCATGTCTACACAAGTCTCCTTTGCTCTTCTTCTAATTTCATATTTACTTAAAACGTATATATCTGTGCGTGAGTGGGTAGCAGGAAAGCGAACTGTTTAAACTGTTTATTTAAGCATAAACAATTTTTATGCTTAAATATTCTGTTTAATGAAATCAAACAGACCTGTGGGTGTGACAAATTCTCCACAGCATGGAGAAATTAGTGGGTTTAAAAGAATAAAAAGAGCACCAAAATACTCAGCCACTGGCCCCCCCGGCATGACCCAGATCTGTTTCACCTTTTTTGGTAAGAAGAAAAGGGGGAAAAGTGTGTTTTTGATAACCAAACAAACTTAGCGAGATAAGGAGTTGGCAGTAGAATCCCCCAGAGAGGAGAAACTGCCTTAGTTACGAAATGCCTTCACTTGCCAGTTTGGTTGTAGAAAGACAGACTTCAGGGTGTGGCTGTGATCAGCTGGGAATGAGCAAAATCAATCGGCAGGATGAGTTGGAATTGGGGAGGACAGACTATGAAAGAAAGGACAGAGGATTCGAGAAAAGGGTGGAGATAGTAACTGGTGACTGACACCCAAATAAAAGAGACGAATGGTAAAATGCTCCTAAAGGCAAAAATGGCTGAGGCCTTTTAGAAACAAAGAAAGCTTAGTATTTCATTTTACACGTTCTCTGTGCTTCTCTGTGAAGTAATCACCCTCGATGACTGTAAACCTTCAGGAAAATCCACTACACAAGCCTCAATAGCACGATAAGATGTGAAAAAACTGGATAAAAGTAACTCTGAAAAGACAAAAATTAAGAAGGAAGAGGAAGAGGAGGAGGATGTGGAGGAGGAACAGGAGCATGAAGAGAAGGGACAAGGGAAAGAAGGGAACAAAGAAATAGCAGGAAGCCAGAGGTGACTTGGAAAAATATGGGCCCCCTCAAGGATCCCTGGAGATTCCAGGGGGTTGCTGGGCACTCGATTGTATTCATACAGTGGGTCAGGCTACTTTTATTTGAATGTTAAATAGTCTGACTTCCTCTAACTCAAGAGGCTAAAGATCACATGGAAGAAACTGATATACAGATTTGTAAACTAAAGTCAAAAAATCTCCTGCTCCAGAGACTCCCGTTCACAGACTGTCTCCCTGTAGTTGGTGGCGTGCACACTGCCTTCCTTGTCACTGGGGGCTGGGCTGCAGCGGGTGGAAGCATTGGGCTGAGGAGTCACAGAGGTCTGTGCTCCGGTACCAACCCGTCACCCAGGCTGCACCGCCTTCCAGAAGTCTGCTCCCCTCACAGGACAATAAAACTAATAACTGCGCCTGTATCACACAACGGAATTATATAATATATTTAGTACCTATACACAGGGTTGGCCAAAAAGCTCGTTTAGTTTTTTTTCTGTAAGATGAAAGACACATTTTTCATTTTCACCAATAACTTTGTCGATTTGGATATTTTGAGTATGTTGTCTATCTCCCATGTGATAGAACATTGATTGTTCTCAATTAAAGTCTCAATTTGATCACTATCAACTTCAATTGGTCTACCTCAGTGTGGAGCTTTGTCCATGAGAAATCTCCGGCACGAAACTTCACAAACCACCTTTGACACATCGGATCAGTCACAGCACCTTCTCCATACACGGTACTCATCTTTCATTGCATTTCAGTTGCATTTTTTCCTTTATTGAAGTAATAAAGCATAATATGCCCCAAAATGTTATATTTTATTCCATCACAAATATGAAAATGGCTACACAAAAATTCACCTATTTTGAAAAGTTTTTTAAAAAATGCACGTTGCTATGACAGCTATCACAATAGAATCTAACAAAATTGTTCTGAATGAAGTTAAAGACAACCAAGCACCACTAGAGCCATCTGATGGAAAAAAAACAAACTTTTTGGCCAACTCAATATCACAGCTTTTTAAGATTAAATGAGAAGCAGCACATAAAATATTTCACATGGTACTTAGTATCTAGTAAATATGCAATAAGAAAGAGCTAGTACTTCCTTTTTTGGCTATTATCCATTGTTCCCTTCCAAATCTCTTGTTTTTGGCATGTTATGCTTTTGCCTCTAAAAGTAACACTGGTCCATATTCCTCTGTGTGTTTACTTCACATGCCTTTAAAATCTGTTCCAACTTATCATCGCATACTTGATTAAAGATAGCATCTTCGACACTGTCCTCGCACAAGAGGATATTTATCACCCCGGGCTGTCTGGTGGACCAAGTTCACAGACATGAGGAAAGACAGAGAGGAGCAGCCTCTGCAGAGGCCTCAGAATGGAGACAAACCTGCACCTACCTCATGCTCCTGCGGTTTTCATGAACACAGGACAACCAGGGGACCCCAAGACAAGTGGGTGGAAGAACACATTCAGCAGAAAACTCCGAGGATATATGACATTGTTCTTTGACCTTTAAACTGGCACTCACCCACGCACTTGGGGCAGCACTGTCCTGGGGGGACGTGGCTAAGGTGCTGAGGACAGGAGAGAATGGGACAGACTTCTCGCACGCACTGTGTCCTGCCTCCCTGAAGAAAAGAGAGAGACGTAAATAAGTACATTTGGCCAAGTCAAGTGCATGGGGATGGGATGATCAAGGTGTCTGAACCAAACTGGGCCTTCCCTTACACTGAGGCCCTGGGGTGACTGCTGAGACCCGTGAGATTTCTCCCAAGCCTCCTTCTGTCTTCCATACAAACTGTCCCAGTAAAAAGACTGCCTGCCCTTCAGGAGACGCTGACAGCATCTCCTCTCACACCAGCCACCACCTCATGTCTGTCCTTCTGAAGGCGAGCCAACTGTCTCAGTGTGTCTGAGACTTGAAGCTTTCAGGGCTCCAGCTGGGAACGTGTCAGGAAAACCAGGCCGAGCTGGCCTCCCCGCCCAACCCTCACGCAAGCCAAGGAGCCCTTCAGATTTTGCTGAGACTTTGCTCCTCTTTCGTGTCCCCATCTCTCCGTAGGTCCCACACACATGTTCCACCAGGAAGACCCCCCTGTCTGCCACACCTCAGAGGTGCTGCTGGGGTGGCTTGGTGAGGTTGGGATTGCAGGGAGCCACCCATCTGCTCAAAATGGGTACAGGGACAGCCAGTGTTCAGAAGAACAATTTCACTGAGTTTACCAAGCTGACCTAGTCAATTTCCACTCACTAAGTAGAAGGTACATGGCGACTGATACAGAAAAGACTGGCAGAGCCTCCGTGTGCCCGGGGAGAAGTCTGGAGCCTGCAAATAGTGCCCTTGCCCCCCATTGTGGTCCCTCCAGCACCTATTACCTTGGACACCCATTCCTTCCTCCCAGAGGGCACAGACACAGTGTGCTGACACCACTCCCTCCTCTACCCTCAGAGATACCTGCTTTTCACGCCTCAGCAACTTGTAACTGAATCTTCAGAAAGTGAAGACAGGAATTTAAAAAAAAAAAACTGCTTTCCAGTCCATTTACAGCCAACACCTTTGCAAGCCTAATGTGGAAACTATCCTGTACAAACTGAATTGCTATCAAATTTGTGAATATTTCCAATGGATTGGCTTTTCTGGGATTGGAGGTAGAAACCGACTTAAGAGATTCTCAGGTATCCCTTGTCTTGGGCTGGTGATTTCTACTTCAAGAGGCCCCAGGAAAGGAGGAACTCACCTCAGAGAGCCCTGGGCTTGCCAAGGAATAGATCCCCCCCCCCAGCTGTCCCCACACCTTCGACCCCAACACCAGATGTCAGCCAGGAAGTCACATGCATCCCATGCAAGCACACTGCCGTCTCCCAGTGTCTCTGCCTTCTCTCCCTGTTCTTGCCATTTTTATTATTATGGTTTATTTTTTGGCGGGGATGGAAGAAAAGGGTAGGGTAAATTCTGTGTTTTTAAATATTTATGATTTTGAAACCACTCTAGTGTTGGATTCTTCCCCAAACCAATAAAGAACACAGGAAAAATACCACAAAAGCCCTTTTGTTGTTTTTACATTATTTTCAGGTCAGCAAGAATCGCTCAAAAGCTCCAAAGAATACCTGGCCGGTCCCCGTGCGGTTCCTCACTCACCTCCGCACAATCCTGAAGTCCAGCCCCTTGCCAGACTCCAGAGACACAGAGTCACATTGAGGCCAGACTCGGAGGTCTGCCCCAGCACACACAGAAACCGAGGGAGCCAGATCTGGAGGGAGGACATGGGCTGCCCTTCGCTTTCATTTCAAAGAAATCTACCTGCCAACGCGGCCCTCAAATCCGGAAGCCTTTGGGCCACACAAGGTTACCTCTGCATCAGCTTCTCTTAGGCGCACAGAGAACACATTCTATCTGTCGATATTCTCTGCTCTTGTTGGATCAGCAACTATTTTTCATGCATGTTTTAAAACTAAAACAATTTTAAATGTTGCATAATTGCATTGGACTGAACTTGCCCACACTTTGGAAAGCTGGCAAAAGATTATGTAGACTCCAGTAATTTTCCTTACAATAAGGTCAAAGAGCGAATTTTGCATACCTAATACAACTGCAGTTTGTGTTTCCCTAGAGGCTGTTGAAGTAACTTGAACTCAACCTGGGTCTGATGGTTTGGTCAAGTTTTATTTTGTTTGGGCTGCACCGCTGGGGCACAGCCCCAGTCCCCAGGCCGCATTCCAATGAATGGCTGCAAAGAAAGCCCCCGGCCTTCTGGGCTCGCAACCTGCTTCTAGGATTTCAACTCCGCAGGGACTCCCATCAAACTATAAGCTGTGGCTCCACTGTAAGTGAAACAAGTTAAAGTAGCAGAAGTAAACATTACTGTTTCTATAAAAGTACTCATTCCTACTGTACCCACACTAGCTTGGTTGAGCTTTGGAGGTGGGCTTCCCTGCCTCGACTCTCTTCCAATTCATCCTGGCAGGTTCCACCTGCCCATGACTCCTTTCCAGCATCCATCCATCATTTCATTATTCCATCAAATATGTAAGGCCTATTATATGCTGGGATTCGGCAGTGAGCATAATGCACAAAAATCACTCTTTCTGGAGCCTGCAGCACTGTAGACCACACCCCCGTGCAAAGGTAGAGGATGACTCACCACCGTACTCAGGGTCCAGTGTAACCCGCTCAGGCTAAAAGTCGCTGGCTAACATCTATTTCCTGTCTGTCTTAACACAGAGCGAGACCTTTCCCAGACCCTCTTGCAGTGAGGGTTGGCCCTATGACTCAGTTCTGACCAATGGGAGGTGGATGAAAATAACACACCGCCCTCAAAGATGTCACCCACGAAAGCCTTTCCTGCACAATGCTCTCCACTCTCCCTCCACTGGACGGATAACCAGCTGAATGGAGGGAACATTAAGAGCTTTGAGAAAATGAAGAAAGCCTGCTTTCCTGAGTCACTGTATGGAAATCTGCCCACTCAATACCTACTATTAAATGAGCAAGAAAAAACACTGCTGTGTTAAAACACTCAGACGTATTAATTCTCTATCACCAGTGAGCCAGCCTACTTTGTCCAGAAACCCACAACCTTCTTTCAGTCTCCTTCCCTCCCAACTCCAACCTGAAGACAGGGTTCCAGGTTCCTCATGCCTTTCTTCATTGCCCTCAAGCACATCCTACAACGTCCACCTTTCTTATACAAACCTCTTCCCCTCCCTGCCCCCACCATTGACCCCTATGGGAACCCTGCTTCAGTCAAGGTCTGTGTCAAGTGCCTCCTCCCCTGTGACACCTGCTAGATGTGTCCACGCCCCGTAACCTTCTCCTTCTCCCCATAGCTCTCCTGTTTTCATCTGGACTCCTGCATTTTGACACATCCATACGTTTTAACCCTGCAAGGGGACACTGGTTTTGTCTTCAAGCTAGAGTATTGTTGGGCCAGGGACCAGTCCTTGGAGCGCAGCCCAACATCCTTCAGGAGAGTGATGGGCTCAAGGAATGTTTCAGTAAAAGTCTACTGCACGGAAGACTGAGCCGCCATTGCGATGAGCTCCAGAAGGCAGCTGCCTTCTGCAGACGCCTTCGACTGCAGGGCCCTGCGAGAACACGTGGGCCAGGGCTTCCGCCTCCACTTCCCTTCGTATCTCCTTGGGTTTTGCACAATTTAGGTAACAATCAAATGTTTCTTGGTGCCGAGACTTCCAAAATGAACACTCAACTTCAACTTGCAGAGTCGATGGTGTTCCTAGGACCCCATGTATTTTGCTAGGGGCTTGAAAATTTCTCAACAGTTAAAACATATAGAGACTAATGACTACAGGCGACCCTTGAACAGTTCAGGGTTGAGAGGGGCCAACCTCCGACCAAGTTGAACATCTTCGTATAACTATTACATTCTCTCATCTGGTCAACAACAAAAAAAGGGATGCCAGGAACTTGCGAAGCCCAGTTGAGTTATGATTTTCACCATCTGCGCTTTTCTGGTAAAGCGAGTTTGCTCTTTAGAAGTGGTCATTTGTTCTAACTGCTTCTCTGAATGCTTCTCCAAAAGGAGCTATTTTACCAGAAAGACTGGAAACTTGTCCCAAGTCTCTCTTCTGCTCCCCCCGCCCCCGGTTTTGGTTTTAGCTGATTCAGTCAAGAGCACAAGGCTTTGTGTCAAAGTTTACCCCCGAGTAGCCGTGGTTACAAAATAAAAATCTGTCTTCCTGAGTGCAGTGACGAGTGCAAGATGATGACCCCCCAGCCATGTGCCTGCAGGGTGTGTCTCCACCTGGAGGACCGCCGAGACTGGGGGGGGGGGAGGGAGAAGCGCCCTGCAACATGTGACAGAGTGACAGGGCTCCTGACTGGACCAGGACGCAGAGCCGGGTACCTCCACCGGAGGCGAGAAGCAGAGCGGTGCCCTGGCAACCAGTTACAGCCAACCATCTACACTGGAGCATATTCTAGAGACTTCCCCCCGCAACGTTCAGTTCTTTAAAGAGAATGGAGTTCTCTGTTTCCAGAGGAAGGGGGAACTAGGGGGCAGTAACACTGCAGGGGCTGGCACAGGGGAAACATACATCCTGAGTGCAAGGGTTTATGTGTGACCCGGAAGTCCTACGTCCCAACTTAACACAATGGTGCAAAGCTGATTTGCCAGCAGAGCACCCACTCTGAATTACAAATTGGGTCAAAAGCATCACACACGAATAAACAGATGCCCTTACCCATACCTCTCTGTGACTTGGATCTTTACTGTGGTAAAGTTTCAGAGCCTGACAGTTATTTCCAAGGGTAAAGCTCGTGGTATTTGGCTTTCCCTGTTCTTGGCCAGAGCAGAACAGGAAGTGAAGCTGAGGAGGGGCAGCAGGTAAGCTCTCCGGCTATAAGAAGAGGAGATTGGACAAGAGGAGATGCCCTATTACCCAAGTTGCAGTGGGTAATACTCACACCCAGAGAGAGAGACAGAAGGTAAATATAAAGACACACACATGACATTGGCATGTATGTATATATCGGTGTGGTGTAATAATTACGTGTGTGTGTGTGTGTGTGTGTGTGTGTGTAAGGCTTATGCAGTAGCCTGGGGTTTTGCAGCTTTGGCACTACTGACATTTGGGGTCAGATCAGTGTTTGCTCCGGGGGCTGTGCTGT